TGAGACTCCTATCTCCAATAAACCACCAGAAAACCGGAAGTGGTGCTGTAGCTCAAGTGGTAGAGCACTCGCCTTGAGCTGAAGAGCTGAGGGACAGCGCCCAGGCCCAGAGTTCAAGCCCCACGACCGACAAAAAACAAAAAAAAAATGCTGGAAGTGGAGCTGTGGCTCAAGTGGTAGAGTGCTAGCCTTGAGTGCTAGGCCCCAATTTAAGTCCTAGTACTGGCACAAATAACAAATCACACACACTACACCACACACACACACACACACACACACACACACACACACACACACACACACACACACACACACACACACACACACACCATACAACTGTTCTAAGCAAACAATGCCAAATAAAACGGACTTAATTTTTTCTAAAAAATTTATTTTATTTTTTGTCAGACACGGGGCCTGAACGCTGGGCCTGGGCTAGCGCTCTACCACTTGAGCCACAGCACCACTTCTGGTTTTTTTTTTCTTTATGTGGCGCTGAGGAATCGAACCGAGGTCCTCATGCATGTAAGGCAAGCGCTCTACCACTGAGCCCAACTTTTTTTTAAAAACCATCATCTAGCAAGATGGAAGCTAAAGTTACAATAGGAGAGCGCCAGGTGTGGTGGCACACTTGGAAGTTGGAGGCAGAAAGATCGCAAGCTGGAGGAGGAAGAGGAGGAAGAGGAAGAAGATAAAACCAAAGAGGGAGTCTGCAAGATGCAATTCCTAGAGACCTCAAGGGGACAAAACCAGAAGCATTGTACAGACCCATCTAGAAAGATGAGTCATTTCCAAAGGTGATCATAAAACCCCAAGAGGGTAGGCACTGATGGCTCTTGTCTGTAATCCTAGCTACTCAGGAGGCTGAGATCTGAGGATCATGGTTCAAAGCCAGTTCAGGCAGCAAAGTCCATGAGACTTTTATCTCCAATTAACCACCAAAAAAAAAAAAAATGGAAGTGAAGCTGTGGCTCAAATGGTAGAGAGCCAGCTTTGAGCAAAATAGCTTAGGGGGAGTGCACAGGTCCTGAGTTCAAGCCCCAGGACCAGCACACACCTGACCCTTCCTTTCCCCCAGCCCCTTCATGAGTCACCTTTCCACTATGAGCTTGGTTAGAACAGGCTCTTCGAACTGAGTGGCATCTTCAGTATCAGGAATACTTTCCGATTCTCTTTTGGGGACTGGTGGGGTGGATGACACTTCCAACGGCAGGCTGGCACCTGCTGAGGGCAGCTCTTGCCTAATAGCACTGCCATCTTGCTTGGAAAAGTCTGGATAATCAGAGAGAGAGGAGGGAGAACGGGTTGACTTATCTCCTTTTTTGTCTCCTTTCTTCTTTTCTTTCTCCATTGCCTTGGGGAGACCTATGATTTTACTTTATATGTACAAATATCTGATGATGGGTTGCTTGGCTCTGTGGTGGTTGGTTTCAAAGCATGGATGGGTTTATCTGAAAAACACACACACACAAATACCTCTGTAAATATTTGGAAGTGTCACTTGTACCAATTTAGCCTTACAAAACACTATTTGTCTATGAAGGCTTAGAACTATAAGTATGGCATGTCACCAGGTTATACGTAATATTACAATCATAAGCTGTTGTCATTGTGTTGGAATCATAAATACTTTTACATCTGCTGTCCTATGATGACCTTTTCATGAAAATGGGGGCATGACTGCCAAGATCTTGCAAGCCATCAACTCCAAGCCCTTCTCCAAGTAAGAGGGTATTAGAGTCAATCGCCAGGAGCCCTGCATCCTTGAGCGTGTTGCCTACTGTCTATCAGCCTTGGTTATCCCATAGAACTATACTACTACTCCTGACAAGATGTGCAGAAAACACCCACATAGTATTGGATGCTTATAGTACTAAAGAATGCTTGCTTTGTGGGGCTGGGAAGGTGGCTCAGTGGTAGAGCGCTTGCCTTGCATGCACGAGGCCCTAGGTTCGATTCCTCAGCACCACATAAGCAGTAAAAGCAGGAAGTGGGGTTGAGGCTCAAGTGGTAGAGGGCTAGTCTACAGCTGAAGAGCTGAGGGACAGCGCCCAGGCCCAGAGTTCAGGCCCCAGCACCAACAACAAAAGAATGCTTGCTTTGAGAGCAGAGGGGTGGTGTTGTTCCAAATCCATGGTTTCCATACCCACTCCACCCCACCCCCTCCAAGCTGCCCTGCCCCCACATCTTAGGCCCTGCTCCAGGCACCTCCTCTGCCTCTTCCTGGAGGCATCCTCTCCATACCCAGGTTGCCGGCCCAACCCCACCTCCTAAGTCCCCCATTGCTCTTCCTGGAACCCATCTGGCTCTCCTCTCTACACACAGGGAGATCTAGTCCTCCTCTAGCAATATAAATCAAACCACAAATAAAGGAGCCCTATTTTTTTTCCTGTTTCTCAGGATCCCTCTCACCCATGGTGCACCTGCATAGGTTCTAGATGCACAAAGCACCAGCACGGGGTACCTGGCGGCTCCCACTCTGCCAAGGGTTACACCACCACTAGCACAGGGCATCCGGTAAACGGAAGCAGGTGTCTCCAGGCAACCAGACACAAGCTCTGTCCCTTGCCTACCCTGCCAGTCCTTAAAGGGGCAATGACATACTCAGGCAAAGCAGCCAAGTATCCCATTCTGCCCTTGCTGGTCTTGCAGGCGAAGAGGAAAAGGCAGAGGCAGCAGAGAGGTCTTTGTACCCACTAACTGCCTCTTGCAGCCTCAGCAGGTTTGTGCACATAAAACAGGAAGGATTCAGGCAGTGGTGTTAAATAAATCATCTCAGCCAGGTGCTAATGGCTCATGCCCATAATCCTAGCTACTCAGGAGGCTGAGATCTAAGGATTGCTGTTCAAAGTCAGCCGAGGCAGGAAAGTTTGTGAGACTCTTATCTCCAATAAACCACCAGAATGTAGAGCCGTGGAGCAAAGTGGCAGAGCACTTGAGCAAAGGAGCCCAGGGACAGCATCCAGGCCGAGTTCAAGTCCCACAACCCCCTCATCCCTAACTTAAATAAATCACCACAAACTTAGTCACTAAAAGCAACACAAATTTATTACCTTACAGTCCTGTAAATTAGCCCAACAGGCTTAGTTCCTTTGTGGGGCTCCAGTTTCTAGAAACTGTCTGTGCCACCCCTTGCCTGGTGGCTCTTCCTCCACCATCAACCTGAGCAATATTGTCATGCTGCACTTGGGGAGGGGGGACCCCACTTGGAAGCCAGTTCAGGATACGTCCTCATGGAAAGATCTTTAACCCCATCTGCATACAAGGTGACAGGGATGTGGGAAGGGTGTGAATTACTGCGCCTACAATTCCCAACTTGTAGATCATGTGATTCAACCACGCTGACACACACACACCAGCACACGGGTTCCAACGCAGGATAGTGGCCTCTTTCGGGTTGTCTGGGAGGCCTAGCAGGTCATCACCACCACCACCTGGATTCTAGGGAGGACATCTGCCATTTTGGGGAGAGCTCCATTTACAAATGCCTTCAGGAACCAAACCTCGGCCCTGAGTTACACAAAGATTACAAGTCTTCTTTTTACACCTGCTAAGAACAGCGCCTGCCAACTGGGTGGCACTGGGGACATAAAACCTCAACCCCAGCCCCCCCCACCCAGTCACTGCCTTCCAGCCAGGAAGAGGTGGTAGATTATTTCTGCATTTGCATTTTTGTTCTGTTTCTCAGTACTAGAGCTTGAGCTCAGAGCCTTGTACTTGGTTATGGAGGCTTTCTCTCTTTTGTCAGTCATGGGGCTTGAACTCTGGGCCTGTGCACTATCCCTCAGCTCTTCAGCTCAAGGCGAGTGCTCTACCACTTGAGCCACTTCCGGTTTTCTGAGTAGTTTATTGGAGAATCTCATGGACTTTCCTGCCCGGGCTGGCTTTGAACCATGATCCTCAGATCACAGCCTCCTGAGTAGCTAGGATTACAGGCGTGAGCCACTGGCGTCAGGCTGTTACGGAGGTTCTCTACCACTTGAGTTACACCTCCAGCCTCGCTTGCTGTGATTATTTTTCCGAGTCTTCCTTTTCTCTTGCTAAGGGATGGCCTTAAATCCTTCATTCTCCTGATCTCAGCCTTTTGCACACCTGGGATTACAGGTGGGAGCCACTTACTGTGATGCATTATTTGAGAAGCACAAACTCAAAAGGTACCTTAATTTTAAGTTTACTAAATTAGGCCAATGTAAATTTTATTATTTACGGCTGAAAGTTGCAAGCGAAAATATCTCCAGGCAGAACAGAAGCCTGGGTAACATCCAAAGTGCTTGTTTTTTTTTTCCCCCTCTGGTGGTGCTGGGGCTTGAACTTGGATAGACAGGCACTCTACCACTTGAGCCACACTCTCAGCCCTCTTCTGGATATAAAATATGTTCTAGCTTGTACACAAAATTCAAATGCTGAAAATGCAGTTCACAATGTTGAATAGGGATCTTTTTCTTTTTTCCAAGATGGACTTCCACTGTGTTGCCAAGGCTGGTCTCTGATTCTGGAGCTGAAGCAATCTTCCAGGCTCAGCGTGAGAAGCTGGGACTACAGGCATGGACCGCCATGCCCAACCTAAGATAATTTAAAAATGCAAATGCATCTAGTACACGATTCTTAAGTAGCAGCTTAGGTTTGATGCAATAATGACAACAAAGCTTTGTCTTTCAAAACAGGAAGAACTGCATGAAAAACTTCATTTAGGATGTGAGGAAGATCAGTTTTGAGAAATGACATCCAGATTGGCAATGTGCCTCATGGTTGGCCTTCCGTGGGGGCAGTTCCAGGGGTGGTCCATCTCACCCATGTGGGCGATGACCTTCTTCATCTCGCTGGTGTTAAGAGCTGTTCCAATCATCACCTGAGTATGAGACACAATGGGGGAAGTTTAACCCAGCACTGTGGTGTTATAACCATGTTCTCCATGGTGAGACTGGACAAGATCAGAGCTCGAACCTTCCTCTTGACAGTTCGGTGCTCTGCATTTCCATGGGCTCCTGGGCTCTGTAGCTTGCTCGAGACCAGAATCGCAATGGTCTCAGTAACTCCCACAATTTCAAAGTTCCCTGGCCTCTCTCCTCTCCCCTTGGCCACCAGAGATCCTTTGCAGAGGTCAATCAGGCCCTCCTCCTTCCTGCCTGAACACAAGCCTCCATCCTCGCCTGATGTGTGCCCTCACCGGGCTGCATGCCAGTATCTCTCCACCCAGACATACTGGTACCCCGATCCTTGTACCCTCAGTGTCTAGCTCTGTGTTAAGGAGCTTAGGTCTCCGCCTATGATGGGTCTGTGGGTAGGAGGCATAAGGAGAAAGGGTTCAGATTTGCTGGCAAGCATGGAGCACCGACATGGGCTATTGTGGCTCAAGTCAGGGGCTCCACTACCTCTCCCCAGATCCCCAGCGCGAGCAGAGTGGTTGGCCTGCTTTACTTACAGATTTCCGACAGGCTCTCGAGGCAAACATCTGCCTGACTCGGGAGGGCCGGCACATGACCCCCGGGCTCTCACTCAGCATGAAGATGAGCTCATCTATATCTTGGGGTCCAAAAGTCCAGTTCTTACTAGTTGGCAAGGAAATCAGTTTAGCTCTTTCAGTGACTGGAGCTACAAGGAAAAAGTGTAAGAACACACTTTTATTTGAGAAGTGTGATTCCCTCTCAGCACTACTTATAAGAATCTGTGCTCTTGCCGTGGGCTGGTGGCTCACACCTGTAATCCTAGCTACTCAGGAGGCTGAGATCTGAGGATC